AAAGAAAAATTAATATATATATATGTGTATATATGTATGTATACTATCTATATATATATATATATGTATGTATATATATAAAAATCAACGAATAAAAGTAAAATATCGGAACGAATTCGTTTATCGTCGAATACGGATTCGAAAAAGCCTCTCGAAGAATGTAACGCGAAGCGTTTAGCTTCCACTTCAACGGTCCCCGCGTTGTGTCGTTTTCGTGACTCGTGACGACGCTCTCTTTTTCTTTGACTGTTAAGATTCCTTATGCGGAGAAAGAGAGAGAGAGATAGAGAAAGGGAACGACGAAATCGATTTTCGGGTTCGCCGTACGGAACAACCGCGAATTTTACTCTCAGACAGACGGCGTGTCTGGGAAATTGATCGAGAAGGATTTCGATGTCCACGGACTCGACTCGCGCGGTGCTCTCTTCTGTCTTCCCGATGGATGACAGCGTTCGTTTACGTGTTTCTCTCGTGTTACTCCCGCCGTTCGAGATCGATCTCAGCGAAAGAACATATGTATTATGAACGAGACTAGCCGCAGGCAGGCGATAAGTACGATGATCGGACAAAGCGTATTACTGTGTCAGCAGATTGTATAAAAATGTATCAGTTATGAGACGATGAGCGAAAACTTCAAAGATCAAACTAAACATGGCCACATCTGGAACTATTCTGAACGGGCAGCTGCCAGGAACCTCGGAAGAAGGGCGGCCGAACGGCGACGGGTTGGGTGGGAAAACGGCGTTTATCGGTTCCCGCGAATCACGGCTCGCGGACGCCGGTCACGTGGCCCCGACGCCATTACGCGCGAGCCCCCACTCCGGCCTCCTCTCGCTCCCCACTCTTCTGTTCCGTTCCTCTGTTTATGTGGAGCAAATTCCTGAAGCCACCGTTCCCCCTCGATTTTCTACGCACTACTCGTTCGAAAGCAAGCTTATAACCTGGTTATTAACCGTATCACAAACATCGTACCGCCAGACTTTTCTATCGTTTTGCCCTCGAGATTTTTTCCCAGTTTTTATGCTCCACGCACGAATCGGTGAAAGCCGAGATTTTTTAACAAAGCCAGACGCGAATGAAACGTATCTTGTGTAATCGTCACCGCCGAAGGGAATATCGTTTATAATAATGAAATGATCGACACGTATATGTGCGTACGAAAATATTTAATGTATACATGATCCTAGGTTTCTATGAACAAGGATTTATTTATACGCTTCGTATATATGCGGATTTCATACATCCACTTCTTTTACACTTACATAACGCTTACAAAAACTTATAATTACACGTTTGTACAAAATGTTGATGCTTAATATAGGTTTCTTTCATTGGGAAATGTACGGTTTCTTCTTCTCTATTTATTTATAATTCTAGGCTTTTCGCTAGCTTTCCAAGCGACCTTCGCGCGGGAACGTGGCAGTAAAGAGAGATAAAGAAATTGGCATTTCATTTGACTTGTTCATGCGACCGATGATGAAAAACAAAGGAAATTCCGCTTGACCAGCACTGACGCAGTGGTAAATCTGGTAGATTTCGCGGATTGTGAGCGTGCCTCCAATCGGACAGGTCTGAATTGCAGTCGGAATTCTCGGGCGGTCCTTTCACTTCTATGCCGTTGATACACCTCTTGCATTTGAACCTATATGGACATAATGATAAATTTAGTACTGTCTACACACGAATCTAAATATTACAGATGTAATAATAATTCTTCGCATTTATGATTAATGGAAGTCAATAATTTCCTGCTTACTTTGCATGAGTATCAGATATAGTATTTTCTTCCAATTTAAATAAGTCTCGCAAATCGTTCAACGTGAAATGCCTTGCAACATCTTCCTCTTGGTCAACCACTGTCGAACTCAAAGCCTTCTTATGCGCCTGTCTTTGAAAAATCTTCTCCTCGATCGTACCAGTCTACAATAATTTTATGATTGAATATAAGCTGAGTAAACGATGTAAAATTAGAATAAAATTAGAACACTTACAGAAAGGAATCGGTATACGAAGCACGGTTTTTTCTGACCGTCTCTCCAGACTCTGGCCATGGCTTGATCATCGTTTGCTGGATTCCAATCTGGATCAAACATGACCAGGCGATTCGCACCGATAAGATTCAATCCACAACCACCAGCTTTCGAGCTAAGCATAAAAATAAAATCGCTGCTGTTTGAGTCATTAAACTTGTCCACCACTTTGGACCTCTTTTTAATCGTCATTGTTCCGTCAAGTCGAACGTAATTGTAACATCGTTTGTGGCACAGTTTTTCAAAGAGATCAAGAGTCTGCGTGTAATTCGATACTAGTACAATTTTATCGTTAGTTGTCGTTTTAATGGACGCCAACAGGCAATCTAGTACCATCAGTTTCCCTGACATTTCCGGTAACACTTCTCTGAAAGAAAAATTGCACCTATGAGTATAACGATACCTCTCATTGCATCAGGACTCTAATGATTTCTCAAATATACATACTTAGTACTGTAATTTGGGGGTATTAAATTCAGAGCATTCTCGAATCCATCTGATCGTTGTAATATTTTATCGTATATCAAGTCAGGATGATTGCACAGTTTCTTCAAGAGTGTGATTGCTGCCAAAGCGGAGAGACTCTTCCCTTTTTTAGACCCATCAGCATTTTCTGTAAAATAAAATGGATATATATACATGAATTAAATTAAAAAATTTCTCTTCTTAGAAGAACTTCACGAACCTTCCATAGATTTTTTAAAACTGTCACTTTGTATGAAATTTTTATAAAGGTCAGTCTGCAGTTTACCCAACTTCACGCAAACTACGAGTTCATGTTTCAAGGGTAAATATTTAGAAAGTAAAGCACTGGTGCGTCTAATGAGACACTTATTCACGAGGGTTACTAACTCTGCTAATCGTTCTTGAGCAAGTTTGCGTTCTGTATCTGTTGCTGCTGCATCTTGGCCACGTAAGATCGGTATTTCAAATTTCTTCCGAAATTCCTATTTAATAGGAATGAAAATATAATAATTTCCATATAAAGATATTTATTACTCTTCGTATGAAACTGATGTACCTGTGCAGTTCCCAGCAGTCCCTGATTAACGAAATGTACAAGAGAGAAATATTCCAGAAGATCATTTTGGATAGGGGTTCCACTGAGCAGTACTCTTCTTTTAGCTTTTAAGTTCATAAGTGCTTGATAGGTCTGGTTTTCTGAGTTCTTTAAACGATGACCTTCATCGCATAGTACTAGTCCCACTTCATCTTGATGAAGAACGTGCGCGTGTAAGCGAAAAGTTTCGTAGCTAATTATCAAAATGGGATTAGCACATCTGCGTCCATAAGTCTTCATAAAACCTATGAGTTTTGCGTCAATGTCTGCTTTATTTCCACCATCAATGGCCAATGGTTGAACTCTGTTTTTCAACCATTTAAAAATTTCATTATACCAATTTTTCACTAAAGAACTTGGAGCAACGATGATAGCTTTCTCTATAAGTGGTTTAGCTTCAGGTCCTATAATATATGGTTATATAGTCTTTATAATATAACAATAAAATATTGTAAACTGTATGAAATGCAATGGTGATTTACCCTGTTTCAACAAAGTCCATAGAAGAGTTATGCATTGCAATGTTTTACCAAGACCCATCTCATCAGCCATAATACATCCATAAGCATTTTCTATTCGTTTTCCAGTCACACATTCATACATAAATTTAACACCTTCGCGTTGATGAGGCCTTAAGATATCACATAACAAAGGATCGACCACAACATGTACAAATTGTTTGGTCCTGCAACATAAATGTATTGCAATTAAGAAAGGATAGGTAAAAAGTTTGATTTCTGTTAGTGAACTTATTTTATACTCACAAATCCATTTTCAATCTATCATGTTCTGTTAACTCTGGTGGTGAATAAACGATAAGAGCATTGGCTTCATCAGGATCGTGTAATGGTCTTCTAGGACCAGACAAACGTGTTCCTAAAGTCCGACCTGATAGTTGATAACCAGGAATTGGAATTTTGAAAGGTTTACTAAGGAGTTTCTTTACTCTTTGTTCCTATAAGCTCAAATTAATTTTCTTGTAAGTTACATGTTTTTATTATCGTATAGCATCAATAGTTTAATGATAAATAATACGAAACTCTTATTGTATTAAAATATTTACATGTTCAGAGATCACTTCTTGAGTTGCTTGTACATCATCAGCCGAAAGCTCAAGAGCTTTGTACTCTGGTATTTGTACATCTTTGGCATTACGGCAAATCTTCTTTTTTGCTTGATGCACTGCTGGCAGAATTGGAGATACAGATACATTATTGGATATATCAGAGAGCAATGGACGTTTGCCTCTTTTACTGGGTGCCAGAGATCGAATCTAACATATAAAAACAAAAAAAAATTTAATTGTTTTCAAGACATTAATGATACAATATAACTAATTAAAAATATGTGTATTTGTCAATCAAAAATATTTCCATGATTCTAGAAAAACATATTGTGCGTACTAAAATCTAAATACGTTATAAATATTGTAATTTTGTAATAATATTATTACTAAGTGTCCAACGAAAATAAATAATAGTATTAACTAAAGATGAAATTTATATAATATTACCATTCTATGTCAGTGTCCAAAAATTGTACAGATCCAGTTTAAATCCCTCATTTCGTTACATCAGATTGTCAGATTTAATTATGTACATCGTTTTTATTAAACACATTACTAACTTTTGTTATAATCAATAGTACGTAAACAAGGAATTCCCGAAATTTCAGAAATTTCGCGGTTATGAAGTGACATGCTTTATTGTGTTTGGACTGTGGCGCTCCTAGCACTCATGATATGAAGCTAATTTCATTGGATTTAAATCTAATTTCATCGAAATTAAATTATTCAGATATATATGTATAAAACGTGATATATAGACAAGCTCAAATATTAATTTTCATCGCAAATATTCATAGTTTCATATAATCGTAGAAAAAAAATAAATATATAGCCTTATGGTTCTGCAAATATATTTCCCAAAAAATGTACAGACTGATCTTCTTCATTGTTTATATTTTTTATATTATTCTTATTACTATATTCCAAGTTTGGTGTATGAAAAATACAATTAATAGGTTCGGATAACTTAGGGTTTACATTTGGTTTTATACCGTAATAATCATCTAGAAATTCTAATACTGCTGACTTATTTTGTAAGTTATTAAAACACACTCTATTCTTTTTTGGTAGTAGTTTTTCTAACATGAATACTAGATGATGATGAAAGCATAAAAATTGGGTTGGAATTGCCGATGTGATATCTAACCAATCTTGTACACAACTAAGGGGAGTAACCGGGCATCCAGAAAAGAGAGCTGGATTCGTTAGAATTCCCCTTGCAGACATTACTCCTTCACAGTTACTTTCCATAAAAAGTTTCTCTGCACCATCCAGATTTTTTACATCTCCATTGGCAATGAGGGGCAATTTTACACTGTCCCTTACTAATTTTAAATTATCTAGGTCAATCGGTTCATTCCTCATTTCAGGAGTTCTTGCATGAACAGTGAGAAAAGAAGCTCCTGCTTTTTCAAGAGTTCTACAGAATTCAACAGTTTTTCGAATATCTTTCAATAATCGTATCTTCACAGATACAGTGAAAGGATTTGGTATCCTATTTTTCACTTGATATATTAAATCTTTTACAAGTTCTGGTTTTTTAAGTAAATCAGCTCCATACCCATTTTTCATTGCCCAATGCTGAGGGCATCCACAGTTTAGGTCAATACCATTACTATACCTACAAATATAATGATTCATTAAATGTTATTTAATTAGATATCCTAATTTCAACTTACGGAGAAACCATTTCTGCTGCACTAAGGAAATCATGCACTGTGTTTGCTGCAAACTGTACAATAAGTGGCTTATCCTCATTATTGGTGGAAAATTCATTATCCCTTGCTTTATTAGATTGAACAAACGAATCAGCCAAGATCATAGGTGTAAAACATAAATCACAATCATATTGCCTTACCAGAGCTCTGAATTGTAATCTAAGAAACAAACTTTAATTTATCCAAACAGTTGCAGAAGATAAATAATCAAGTATGAAATGTATCATTACTTACTTACTATACCTCACCATTGGTGCACAGACTTTTATCATTCGTGGTTCTTTTAACATTTCCACTATATCAACTGCCATTTTAATTTCTGTTTATACCTTATATCAATGAAAAGTTGAGAAACCATTATAAAACAACAACAAATGTATTTTTAGTTCTATTCATTCCTTTCTTATCTTCTATGAAAATATATTGTAAATGTGTACCTAATAAATACAAATGTTCAAATCATAATGCAAATTCATTTTATTTCTTATGAGATGTTTTGGTACCATAAAATTTACATTAATTAATTTAAGCATTATAAAATAAAAAGTAGGTCGAATTTACAGTTATACAAACACAATGCATGTATATTTTCTGAACACAATATTGTCTCATTGACATTTAATTCTTTACATTCGAATTAATCCATAGATTTAGAATGCATTACAATAACTCTCGTAAGTATTATTTAGATCGTTAAATTACTAAACAATTTAAACATTTTTATTGTTTATACATAACCTTGCTATTATTTATAGTTACTTACTTCAATAAACATTCACATATGCTGTATTAGATATTCATGTGAATGTATTCCATATAATAATAATTCATTATTATTGTTCTTTCTCTCTGATTACTGAAATATACATTAACTTAGGTACAGATTATTTTTTCCTATGAATATTTGTTGATTTTAACAGCTTTCGGTTTTAACCTAAACCCGTTATCAGTAACTTAAATAACTAGACAAATTTCTTTCCTTTAATTTTATTATTAAACATATAGGAATGAAATTTATATTATATTAAGAAAAAATCCTGAAAGATGTATTTATTATTTATTGAATTATATGAAATAAAAACAACTTGTTGCATTATATCAATTTTCATTTTATAAGGTCCCACAGAAGAATGTCCTTTAACGAAGAGTAGAAGTTATAGACATAAGATAAATTTGTACTGTGGAGATGGTTTGAAATTTATTATAAGCTGTTTTACTATTTTGACTATCTCCATTACAACAACATTAATTTTGCAAATACTTTATGCCGAAGAAACACCTCAGGTATATACAGTTTTATACAAAAAGAAACAGTTTTAAATGTTGCTCACATATAATAATACTCTGCATTAGGATAAAGCTGGTACTCATGGAGCGGTTGCAACTGATTATACAAATTGTTCACAAATTGGAACTAAAATATTACGAAAAGGTGGTAATGCGATAGATGCAGCTATAGCAGCAACCATTTGTATGACAATTGTTGCCCCACATAAGACTGGTCTTGGTGGGTAAGTCATACATGAAATTTCACTAATGTTTATTATACCCTATAATTATAATTTCAGGGGTGGCTACATTATGATATACAATCATAAAGAACGAACAAGTCCAGTTATTATTGACTTTGCCAATAATACTATTGGAGGTACTTCATTAGTTAATGGAATAAATGTAAATACTTAAAAGAATTTTACAAATATATTGTCAATATAATTTGTGTATTAGGTGCTTTTGAACAAAATGGAATGCGTGTACCAGCTGTATTAAAAGGATTAGAATATGCACATAGTTTAAAAGGTAAATTACCATGGAGTGAAATTGTCAAACCTTCTGTAACTTTAGCTACAGAAGGATTTGTTGTATCCAAGGAATTAGCCAGTGAAATATCAAAAAATATTAATTATGAAATATTGTATGGGCACCTTAGTGCTGGGGATACATTGAAGTTACAAGATCTTGGTGACATGTTAAGTGCTGTAGCACAATATGGCTCTAGAGGTTTGTAGATAGTATGCTTGAATATTTATATTATACCAATAGTATTAATGTTTATTGTTTTCCTAATAGTGTTATACAATGGAACTTTCTCACAGAAACTTTTACATGACAAGGATAAACTTTCAGAGCTGCTTATACAGTTAGCTAATTATAAACCTCTTGTGTATCCAGCAAAAAAAACAAGTTTTCATAAGCATGCTATATATTATCCTCCACATATCATATTGTTAGAATCAATGATCTTATCATTGGAAAATCTAAAAGTATCTATTGAAAATGCTTCTACAATAGAAGCACAAGCACAGCTAGCTGCAGCATTGATACATTCAACTTCTATTCCATTGCAACTAAAACAAAATGGTTCGTAAAATTTATTTTATTATCATTTTTAATCTTATTTAATATTTATGTAATGAAACAATCATTTTAGCTGAGGAGGAAAAATACACTGGAGTAATGGCAATGGATTGGGAAGATATTTACGTTTGTATCATAACGTTAGTATTAGAAAATAATTGTATAAATTATTGAACAAATTATTTATTCCATTACTTTGCAGTGGACTTAGTTCACCATTCGGTCTTGGACACATGTCTAATGCTGGTTTCTTATTTGACAAAAGTGATACAAATAATACTCTGTCTATGCTTACTCCAATCATTTTCCATAATGATATTGCATTGTGTGGATTGAGAGGAGTTTTTGGAACAGATGATACATTAATTGTAGGACAATTATTATACAATATTATTGCACGCGAATTAAATGTTTCCGAGGCTATAGAATATCCAAGGTATACAAATTTCAATGAAAGTATTTGATACATTTTTCAAAAAATGAGTCTCTGAATAAAAATTTTAATCTTTTTAAGGTATTACTTTTTATCAGATGGACTTGCTGTAGAAAATGATCAGAAACATTCTGTAAATATTCTATTACGAAATCAATTAAACTCAATGGCACCTACACTGCATATGGACACAAATTTAATATTAAAAAGTGTGAATGCAATCATAAAAAGGAAAGATTCAATGTCAAGTCATTCAGACAGTCGGGGAGGTGGTCTTTCATCAAGATATTAAGAAATGTGTTTTACTTAATATTTTATTTTATAAAATATTAATATACTCTTCATTAAGACTTATTTCTAGATAAATTTTTATACAATGAAACTTAAAAATAATAGTATTTTTATTATATATTTATATGTACACAAAATATATACTTTGTTTTAGATAGGTATGTGACAAAATATTTACCTTACTTCAGTACTACTTCAACACACTACTTTTAGATGTTCTTTCTCCTCTTTGTACTCTTTAGTTAACTGTATTTGCCTTAATCTAGCATACATTGCACTAGCTCCAAGCACAATCATATTACTAGTCCACCACATAAACGACTTTGCTTCATCGAACCAGTAAGTCGCCAATACTGTTTGTGCACAAGCTTTAGCAGTTCCACTAATGTTGTGTGTTAAGGGTGATGTTACTTTAATTTGAAGTGCAGTAACATAACCGATCGCAAACCCACAAATACCACCAACAATCATAGCAGACCAAAAAAATAAAGATCCAATTTTATCATAATTGTACACTGTAATATGTTCTCCATTAGCTATCATTAATGGAAGAAAAATAATAACACTGTATGCATTATTATAATAAGAAAGTAGCCAAATGTCTTGGTTTAATTTAGGAAGAACTTGTTTCATATGAATGGAATATAAAGAAAGTGTTAATGATCCAAGCACACCAAAGATTGTTCCTAGGACAGATAAAGAACCTGCAATGTGTTCTTGGTCTACACCCAACCAGAAACCAATCACAATAAATCCACAGCATGCAATGCAGTTTCTAGAAGTTTTTTGACCTGTGAAATTACAACAGTCCATTACATTGATCGTTTGTTCAATTTTTTATAAAGGTTCTTACCAAGTATAAGGTAGGTGAAAATGACATTAAATACAGTTGTTAATGAACGTCCTACGTAATAAAATGCAACACCAACGTATTTTAAACACAAATTGTTAGTGGCAATCATCCCAGTGAATAAAAGAGACAAAGGTAATACCTACAAGTATCAGAATCATAAAAATATTGTTAAAAACAACAACTCATTCTTACTTACAATTATAGTAAGAATTATGTTCTATATGTAGCTTAGTACTTTGATCAGAAATATTACCTTTCTAAGAGTTTCCTTACAATATGGATTACCATCAGGAAATTTAACATACTCTGGAAACCATTTGGATAGCCTACTAAGTATTACACAAATAACTAAGCTTACTATACACTGGCACCATGTGACAAAAAGAGGTGCATCCAAGTTTATGGTATCACTGGATAAAAGCGCTTTGTTTATAAATACTGTTAATATAGAAATTATCCTGGAAAAATATTTAACTGTATAAATGATATAATTGATTTAAATAAGCAATATATATTATATGTTTGAATGAATTGAAACTCACCAGTATGCTGCAACTACTAGGCCAAT